GCAGGAATGGATCCGATTAGACTCCAGACCCGACCCGGAAACCGATCGTCGTCGATCAACGCGTTCGCTAGAGCGAATTCCAAAAACGCGAAATCGAATCCCATGCTAACCATCGCTTCCATCGCAACTGCAGTGGGATTTCTCTTCGTCTGCTATTCGATTTTGTTCCCCGGAATGAATCGGATGAGCTCGCTCCGATACAGCGTTGTGATTGACGGGGGAAGCACAGGGACCAGAATCCACGTTTTCGGGTACCGTATCGAATCCGGGAAACCCGTTTTTGATTTCCGAGGACAAAATTATGCGAGCTTGAAGGTGAATCCGGGCCTGTCGGCTTACGCGGAGGATCCCGATGGAGCGGACGTGTCATTATCGGAGCTTGTGGAGTTCGCGAAACGGAGAATTCCGAAGGGGTTGTGGATAGAGAGTGAGATTAGGTTAATGGCAACTGCTGGGATGAGATTGCTCGAATTGCCTGTTCAGGAGCGGATTCTAGAAGTTACGAGAAGGGTTCTGAGAACTTCTGGGTTTAAGTTCCGAGACGAATGGAGCTCTGTAATCTCGGGTAAATTTTCCGATCCTATCGTTTGTCTTATGCCTTGCATGTGTTGTTTTTCTTCTTCTTACTTCGTAGTTGAAGCGAGATTCATATCGAGTGACATTGTTCAGTAACATAGTTAGAGTGATAATTAAGCTACGACTATGAAAGGATAGGAGAAGCATGATGCTTTATATTCCTATGCAGCTAAGAAGACATGAGTTGGTTTTTGACCATTGTCTTTGGTTGTTGTTCTTGCGGTCTTAGTGTCAGAGTCAGCATCATTTTGTTCTGACGAGGATTTCAAATGAAGTTTCGGTTTTTATGTTATTCTAATTGAAGGATAGTTATGTTTCCGTCCCGAAGAATTTCCTGAAATAACGTTTTGAGGGCATATATTTGCCAGGATCTGATGAAGGTATATACGCATGGGTTGTGGCAAATTATGCGCTCGGTACTCTTGGAGGTGATCCTCTTCAAACAACAGGGATTATTGAACTCGGAGGGGCTTCTGCTCAGGTTGAGTTTCTGTGTCTCTCAAACGCATTACGTGTGACAAAGAACCGAAAGATATCTGTTCGATTAAGGAAGTGTTAGAATCCATATGTTGTCATGTACCGTGAGCAAATTAGGATAACTCTCATTGTGCTAAAGCGTTGATCGCTACTGATGGCCCTTTGTGCTTATTTGCAGGTGACGTTTCTGTCAAGTGAGCCAGTGCCCCCAGAGTTCTCACGTACAGTATCATTTGGAAATTTTTCTTACAGCCTATACAGTCACAGTTTCCTTCACTTCGGGCAGGTAATTTCTACTTCTGTCAAGAAGTATTTCCTTCATTTTCTGAACATTTGGATTAAAATTTTCAAAATTTGTTATATGGAAACTTGCTGCACGCTTCTTTTCATCCATAATTCTGAATCTATCATTTTGTTCTTCCTCAAAGTTTTCAGAGCAATCACCCAATAAGTTATCCTTGTAAAAGTTATTAACTTTTCTTGCCCTGTAGAATGCTGCTCATGAAAAACTATGGGGATCGCTCGTCTCAGCTGAACAGAATTCGGGTGAGTAGTTGATAATTGATATCAATTGATTTATATTTATGTGTATTAAAACTATATAGGCTCCTCTAAGGCCGCTCCTGCCCTCTATAGTTGATTAGATTTAGACCATTGTTTGTCAGCATATAGGTGCAAGTCCACAATTACGTTAACGAAATCGCTTAACCGGGCCTTCCACAATATATGATTTCCTGGCTAGGCAGCCGGTATAACTTTTTGCTCCATGAATTCATAATGTTTAATTTCTTGCAGCTGCTGAATCTGTACAGAAAAGAATATTTATGGACCCTTGTATTCCTAAAGGCTATGATCTTGATACGAACTCGCCAAAGCTTTTATCTGGATTCTTGGCTGGTAAAAATACATTTACCGCCGTTCAAGCTGGGGGTAATTTCTCAGAGTGCCGGTCTGCCGCATTGGCAATCTTGCAGGATGGAAAAGGTAAAATCCTGGCTCTAGTATAAGTTGAATCTTATTCCCTGTCAGTGTCATTTTTAATTCAAATTTTCTCCTTTCGAGTTCAGACGCATGCCCCTATCAACATTGTTCTGTTGGATCAACATTCACACCTAAGCTCCGAGGGAAATTTTTGGCGACAGAAAATTTCTTCTATACTTCTAAGGTATTAAATCCTCGCATAGCCAGCAACAATGTTCTCCAACCATACTCATGTACTATTATGGAGAATTTTATTTGAACAAGGTCTTTTTTCTTCTTTAATCAGTTCTTTGGGTTGGGAGAAAAGGCATCGTTGTCTGATCTGATTTTTGCTGGAGAGAAATTCTGTGGAGAGGATTGGTCAAAGTTGCGGGTAAAAAACCCGTCACTAGAGGATGAGGATTTGCTCCGGTACTGCTTCTCCTCGGCGTATATTGCGGCACTACTTCACGATAGTCTCGGTATTTCTCCCGACGATGGAAGGTGCGTTTGCTTATTTCAAATAGTGATCAAAAGACTAAAACTTTCTGGTCGCATCTTACAAATCATGAAAGATATACACTTCGAGCCGTCCATATTCTTGATCAAAATTGTGTTTTCCACAGAGTCATATTCACAAATCAAGCGGGAGAGATACCGCTTGATTGGGCGTTAGGGGCATTCATCCTAAATACAGCAATGACCATCTCTCATGCATCACCCCATCATCGTCTTGCTTGGTTCGATGCCCTGATCGGTCAGGACTCAACAAAGCTGCTCTATCTCGTTGGTATACCAATCTTTCTTGCCTTTTCGGTATATTTGGTATCGAAGTGGAGAAAACCGCAGCTGAAAACAGTGTATGACCTCGAGAAAGGGCGGTATATAGTCACCCGAGTTAGATGATGATCTGTCTCTCAGACAAGACAGAAAGGGCAAAACTCTTATCAACCGTTGTCCCATTGGTTCCTCCTCCTCCATCTCCCCAAACCTAAGAGCCATCTCTCAATCGGGCACATCTGAGTTGCTGTTCTTCATGCTTTGGGGGGACTCATATGCAGGGTTTGGCTAATGCCCCTTTTGCCCTTTTGTGTTGCTTTGGTTTGCAATTTCAGTCGGGAAGATTTCACAAATTTAGATCATATTGTCATGATTTGTATTGTCACTGCCACGCTTGGTATCTTCTTTTTATATATAAATTAGTGTTTTTCTCTCTCAGCTCCCATTTTAACCATTATAAAAATAGTCGATTATTTTTGTTTCCTTTAGTTTCATGAAACAAAACAATAAATCTTAATAATAATAATAATAATAATAATAATAATAATAAAAACCAAGTACCATAAATTTCAGTATAAGTAGTTTAAGTGATTCTCGTCTATTTTTGTAATTTACCAAGAAAAAATATATAGAAATAAGGTGTTAATGCTTATTCTTTTCCCCTTTTATTGTTAAGCTTAAACTCTAAATTTTTATTTTAATTTTATTTTGAAATTATGATTTTATTTTCAACAATTATTTTATTTCTCCATTTGTTAGGAAGAGAGAGGTAAGTCATCAAATTTATATATATATATTAAATATATAATTCAGTTTCTTAAACTCTTGATTGGATAACGTGGATACAATATTTTTTCATTATTTGGTTTGTTTTGGCATATTGTTACCATGACAATGAATTATTCTGTAGTCAACTAAAGTATTGGATTAATCATGCATGAATTTAAATAAAAGAAACAAATTTTATCCTTTTAATAATAATATGTATATTTATAAACTGTTAGGTGTGCAGCGGTAGTTTAATTCGATAGCTGACATTTACCAAATCTACAGTGTATAGGTAGATGTAGAGTTTATGTTAATTTTTATTGTTTTTTTAATCACATTAAACCTGTAACCTTTGTTCATTCTAACTGGGGTTGGTTTCCTTATTTTTTAAAAATGGAATAAATCTCGATATTAGTGGCACTTACGTGGCAATTAAATAAATTACGTGGTACTTTTTTTATATAAAAAAAACCCATTAACGTCAACTGGATTTGATGGTCAACGTTGATATTATATTCCCTACTACCTCCCTCACATCGAATAGAGAGTTGGATCCCAATTCCTCGACTTATTGGCATTTACTAAGCGAGCCAACCCATATTATTGTCTCTTCTTTATCTACAGTTTTATATTTAAATTAAAAAACATACAACCGCAATGTTGATATATATATATATATATATGTGTGTATGTGTTGATGAGCTGACCATGTCATACACTAAGACACATTCGCATTATTGACCTTCCTTCGAACGCCACGGTCCAATATTTTCAATCCGTACAAGTACGAACGTGTGTATATATATATATATATATATATGTTACTATGAATACTAATGTGTAAATGTATGAAATTTGACAAAGTCCATATCTTTGATAATTCAACAAACAATCTTAAATGCCGTTAGATTCTTTTGTCTAGAAGTTGCCTACCACAAAAGAATTTATTTATTTATTTTCCAATAAATGATATTAAACTATCCCCCATAGTTAAATATAAGGTCCAATATGTTGAATTATTATAATATATATTTACGTGAACAACTAGTACTTTTTTTTGTACTTCTCATTGGGAACATTATAATCATTCAAATACAAACATGTTAGGCATTGGCATGTCCCTTAGTAAAATGTTCGTTAACGTTCCAGCGCGGCAAAGTGCTGGGTATTATAGACAATACATGGGAAATGGCGTATAATTACGGTAGTGCCACGGAGAGCCGTTGCATGTTAGTCAACGGCTATAGTTAACGGAGCCGTTAAATCCCTCCACACGTCGGCATCTTCTTTCGCTATATAAGGCGAGTTCCCTAAATTGCTTGATTTCCGGGAAAATCTCGATAAAAAGTTTTAATCTTTCCGAGAAAATTTTTGGGAGCACAAGTTCCTTGCGTCTCTGCTAATTTTCCTCCCGAAATTTTGCTCCAAAACAAGGAGCAGAAGCATTCTGTTCACGCTACAAACATATCTTCCCATCTTTTCAGGTAATCTTTTTGGATTAGTATCTAAATAAAGTTAAAAGGTTTCTATCGTTTTATCGAGTTTTTTTTTTTTTTGTCGATTTCTGTTTTCTCGCTTTCCGGAAACCTTGATCGCTGCTACTTTTACCAGCGCGATTCTGGTTTCTGGGGTTCCGCAAATCCTCCGCTCTGTCCGATCAGAGTTGGTTTGGTTTGTGATTTTGTTAGTTCGTATTTAGGGTTTCACTCTGGATTTATCTTCGATTTCGTGGAATAGCTGGAGGTTGAATTAGGCGTGTAAGCGGGGATGAGTGGTCACATGGTGGTATACGTCGACGGACTGGTTCGTCCGGTGCCGTTGCCCCCGGTTCATGCGGAGGTTGAAAATGAGGGATCCGTTGCGACGGAGCCGTCGGGTTCGGCGTCGGTGGCGGAGGATAAGGGGATTGATATTTCCGATGGAGATTCGGAGGAGGAGCCGCTCATTGGGTCGGCGGAGTGCCGTATTTGCCAGGAAGAGTGCCCCATTAAGAATCTCGAGAGCCCCTGTGCTTGCAGTGGCAGCCTAAAGGTATTATCTTTGTTCATTGAAGAAGCATAAAATTTGAGGGAAATTCCATTGCTTCTGAAGTTTTGTGGCTTTGGTTCATGTATACGTTCTTGTATCATAGATTTTGGCTGATTGAAAGGCGCAACTTTATGATTCTCTTGGGTACATTTCGGGGTACTGAAACTGACAGAAGTTTGGGTTTTGGACAGTATGCTCACAGAAATTGTGTTCAGCATTGGTGCAATGAGAAGGGCAACACTATATGCGAGATCTGTCATCAGGTATGTTGTATCGGCACATATTCTTCTGTGTCCAAGTGTTGAAACCAGAAGCTTTGTAGAAGGGGAAGAGGATCACGTTTACTTTTCCTAAGATAGTTGAGTGTGCAGAGATGTGGTAGTTTAAGGTCATGACAGTGTCAGGTCTGCACATAATATGTCGAATCCTTCACTTTTATGGCGTTGGTAAATTTGAAATCTAGGTTAAGGAAATGCTGAGATAAAGTATGACTTGCAGATATTTGCAACGCTGCCAGCTGTTGATTGAATTCGGACAGTGTCCTCTTTCAATTTTTGAAATTTGAATCTATCACCTCAACATTTTTTTGTGGTGTTTTTAATCAGAGGTTGCATCATTGCATTAGTACATCTCAACATAATAAAAGCTCATGCATGTTGATCACCACCTATGCTAGAATTCTCTGTGTACTGCTCTGATATGGTAATTTCATCTGATAGCTTTTATCTTGTCTTACTAGCCTTACCAACCTGGGTACACCGCTCCACCTCCTCCACCCCTTCCTGAGGAAACTACCATCGACATTGGGTATAAGTCATTTTTATGGTTTCACCAGACACATAGAGGCTCGGCCATGTTTCTACCTTAGGAGTTTTGTGTTTTTTGGGGTTTCTTATATTTTTTTTTCTATTGTTTTGTGCATGTGATTCAGTGGAGGATGGACAATCTCAGGTTTGGATTTGCACGATCCTCGTCTCTTAGCCATCGCAGAAGCCGAGCGTCAGTTTTTGGAATCCGAGTACGATGATTATACGGCTTCAAGTGCCAGCGGTGCTGCATTCTGCCGTTCAGCAGCTCTAATAGTAAGTCTTTTACTCTTGAAGCTTCCACTAAACAGTTAACCAAACTCCATTTCTAAAGGGTCGTTTAAAAACCAAACAATGTTTCTTTCGCAGTTGATGGCCCTTCTTCTCTTGCGACATGCCCTGAGCATAACAGATGACGCAGATGGAGATGATGATGATCCATCGTCAATACTCTCTGTGAGTTTAAATCAAGTTCCTGTTCGCTGATTCCTTCACATTCAGTGTACAGAGTTCCATATAGATTCTAATGCCAACCACAAACGGGTGAAATATTTTTGCAGCTTTTCTTGCTCCGAGCAGCTGGATTCCTTCTTCCCTGCTATATCATGGCTTGGGCCATCAGTATTCTCCAGCGTCGAAGACAAAGACAGGTAAGCTTTGTAATATTTTTTTTTCCGTCCCGGGGAAACCTTTAGGAAAGTATCCTGCGGGAGCTCAATGGAAACCTCGATAACGGGCTTAACTTTTCATTGAGACCTTAGTAACTGAGATAAAAGGAAGGAATCTATTCCAAACAGCAGATACGAATACTTTTCAAGTGTTTTCTCGAACAATAATTGTCGTGTTTTTAGGTTCATCAAACTGAAAACTTTTGCATTGTAATGTAACGTGATGAACTCAGGAAGCAGCGGCCTTGGCTACACAGATTGCATTGGTGATGCAGTCGGGGGGGCAACCAAGAGCCATGCATTTCACAATAGCGACTGGACCACCACCTCCTCCTTCAATGGCTGCTACTGCCAACACCACTTCACACCACCACCACCACCACCACCACCATGAAGAGTCGCTCGTTTGACTCCATAATATTAGCACACGGCCCCCTTCTGAAATCCCCTGCCTTTACTTGGCAAGGTACGATCTGAATTTACTCTGTAAAGAAGAGCGCTTCTCCCATGTTTGTAGATCCCAGAGCTCAGCTCATGTATTTGATAATCTGAAAGAAATTGAGACAGCTGAGATCTTGGAATCTCATTCGTTCATTTGTTGTTAATTGGATTTCCACTTTCCACGTTATAGGAAGAATACAAAAAGAAAAGATAGTGAATTCCTCATGCTAAGAGGGGAGGGAATCAGTTCAAAGCATGTTTGTGTGTCTGTATTTTGACCAGACAGAGAAAGCTTCGGCATTTTAAGACAAGACCACCACATGAAAGTAGTTGCAGCGTGTGGCTTTGGAATGTTCCAACTTGAGATTATGCAATTTTGTAATTAATTGTTTTAATCTGTTGCATGTCTCAAGCCCATGACATTTGAAGAGTCTTACTATATATATAGATATAATTTATTAGATGGAAAATGAAAGATTTTATTTATTTATTTATCGTAGAACAGAAGCTTAGGAGAATCATATCAAATTTAGAATATTGAGTTATTTGAAGCTATCAAAGTGCGCTTCTTTTAAAAGAGGTGTAGTTTGTGGTGATGCGAACAAACAGAGGAAGTGAAAAAAGGACGGCACCACATTATCCCTTTTCTTAATTGCAAAGGAAAGGAATGGCGGCGGCTCTCTTATCATATTCACTATTCTCAAACTCTACACTATATATAATAATGGATATCACATGTGTGAAGCAACATAGAAATACATATATACATGCATGTTCATGTATATATACGTGAAAAGTACAAAATTGATTCAAGAATCTATAATTTGAAAATTTAAAAAACACCCCATTGGTGGTCTGAAAAACAGTGATATATGAAACCAAGAAAACATGCAACCTTCTTCCTTCCAAAATCAGAGAGCGAGAGACTTGACATTTCATACAAAAAGTTCCCTTTCTCTTGGATTGGATAAGTGACCACTGGCATCAGATTCAGTTTCTGCATTTTGTCTGTATAAAGATATGTTTGGTTACCTCAAAAATTACCATGAAACAGGATAAAAAAAAAGCTGGATTCTTCTCCCAATGATCTGAAGATATCTAATTGATGATATTCGATTTGAATATATTCTCAAGACATGAATGAATGACAGGGGAAGTGGATGGTACCCTTTTCCTCTGCATCGATTCTTTTTAAAACTCCCTCCCAAATCTCAAAGCAGATAATTTTACAGAACACAAAATCTACAGAAACTGAGAGCTTAAGAGTTATAAACATCATACTTTCGCTTCTCTCTCTTCCTCTTGCCTTTAAGCAGAGCAAGCAAACAAAGAAAAAAAATCTCTTTTTTTTGTTCTCTCTGGTTGAACTATGTCTTGTAGCTGTAAATGTGTTCTCATGCTTCTTTGCGTTGGGCTGCTTGCTCTTAGACCATGTAGAGTTTATTGTTTGATAAGTAAGCGTTTCTTGTTGAAGCAAAGCCGAGAAGAAGTTCGACCGCTGAAAGCGGCAGCTTCTTCCTTGAGAACCACATGGTTTGAAGCTGGAGAAGAAGAGATCACATGGCAGAAACGTCGCGTTCTTGGGCAGGTTGCAGAGGAGAGCTCGAAATGGGAAGGGAATCCCCAAAGTGGAACCGAGAAATTCGATCCAAATCAGTCGAGCAAAAGAAGGGTAGGCCGTGGATCGAACCCTATCCACAATAGGTCTTAGATTCAAGTGAGTTCTCTCTTGTGGATCATAAGAACAGAGTTTCAGACAGAAGGCAGCAACCCAGTTGCCAGAATAACAGAGCAGTGGGAATTGTAGTATGTCTCCTTGTAAAAAGATCCATGCTTTGTCTCTTTAGACATGCCTCATAGAAGGATGTTCTTTCGCAGCCATGTAAAGGTCGTGTTTTCAATGAACAAAATTCCTTTCCCAATCACTCCGTGTGAATCTTAATAGTGAAAGATCTAGCAACAAAGAAGGGAGATAAAGAACCAAACTTTTTCATATAGTTGCACTTCAAATTGAGAATGTATCATCCTCATCTAGTTCATCTGTATCTTTCCCGACATGGCTGCAGTTCTTACAGGTCATGGAAGGTGGAGTGATATCCAAACAGTATTCAATCCTTTTCTCTAACCAAGCCAATCTCCTCTCTAGGCTTAAAACACCTAAATGCATAATCCTCACGTCAACCTCTGCAACCTTCGCACAGACCCGTAACAGAATGTAATAATCTGCATGGGCGACATAATTCAATGCTCCTTTTTCCTTTTTCCTAACATAATGAAGGTAGTCTAGCCTCTTTACCTTCACACGAGGTGATATGTAACAGAACACGTTCTCTTCCATGTCCCGTTTCAGTCTTCTTACAGCGCTCTCCTTGACTTTCTCAGGAGAAGTATGGTTTTCTGGTTCTGGATCTTGTTCTTGATCGGAGTCAATCCTTAAGATACTTTCTCCAGAATTGGATGGATTATGGTGATGCCTTTCATCACTAAACGTGTTCTCTTCTAAGGATAGTAGGTCAAGAGATATGTTATCATCCTGGGATCTCTTCCTCTTGGCTGGAGTCTCCAATTGAATATCAATTCTCCCAGATCCTTTTAAATCCTACGAAAGAATGTAAACCATATGGTTTTAGTTAAATGTATGAATGGTCATCAGACTAGAAAGTTGAAAAGAGCAATTTCACACGAATCTATTGAAGAATTGAAGCAAAAATATATGACAACGTTTTACCTTGCCAATCAGATACTGATTCCAGAGCTCTTGTATGATCTTATACATGTTATCCGGCGATGACTCTTCTGACCCAGCAAAGACAACATCTTTACCATGTTGTATATATTGCAGGAGACCCTTTTCATGTTCTGCTGAAGAAAATAATTCAGCAAGTTTGAAGCGAATCAGCAAAGCAACTAATCTGTAATGCTGATGTGATTCATTACGAAGATAGATACAATGGAAATAATGGATAGAAAAGGATTACCAGAGCTTTGAGCAACTTCATGATATTTTGCTTCAAGGTTCTTCAGAAGCTCCTCGGTGTTAAACTCGGTTTCCACAAAACCCGAAGATTTTGTAGCCGATTTTTTCTCGGAACCATTCTTATCATCATCTGAAGAACCAGACGCCTCAGAAACATCTTCCTCCATCTTACTACTGGAATCTTTGCACAAACTTTGTTCCCATACCCCGAAACCGTTTATGTTATAAAGAATCCGTATAGTCACAATCAGAATAGACATGACACACACACGAGTGGGAAGCCTGCACTCATTCTTGGATAAATACAAATCCGGAGGCATCGACCAGTTTTCTATACGACAGGCCTGAGGAAGAATCTTGTCAGAAGGGAGAGACAGCTCTTTGAGATAGTGGGCAGCTATTGCATAGAAATTCACTGGAGGCAAATTCAAACCAATTTCCTCAGCAATGTAAGCAGCACGTGTTTCCAATCTCTGTGGAGAAATAACTTGAGAAGGCTTAAACATTATGCTTGCACTGACGGGACAAGCAGGTGATCGCTCCCCCATTTGCTTTCTTATTCTAACAAAACAGGATAGGTAGGGGATCTTGCCTTGGCGAGCCCATCTCACTAAGTCTGTGGGTAGAATAGATGCTCTTGCCACATGACAAGCGAGGAAACATATAGCCAGAGAGCTTGACAGAGGCAAAGATGCTCTCAGCGACTTAACCCATATCAATACTGCTCGTTTACCATATAAGTTATGAGGTTCCGACTTGTTTCTGATATACAGTTTATCTTCCCTTGCTTCTCCTGACAGAAAGAGAGATACAAGATGAGCAACAGGAAGACAACCTGAAATCACTGCTATAAAGGTTTTTACGTCAAAACCGGCTAACACTACCGTTTTTGGACTTTTTTGCTTGAGGAAAGCTTATTAAGCTCTAATTTCTACATAGACCAACACAATTTTTACAGGTCCTGGAATGTCAATTAAAAACTGGATGTACATGCTTTACTCTCAGGCTACAATTGTTCAATATTATGAAAGGTTTTGCATTTTCAACGAGACTAAACAAAAGGTCCCAGCTTTCTCAAATCCAAGAGCTATCCTGCTTATAGAAACAGTGGCTGTCACATCATTAAGCTAATAAACATCATAAACTCCGTTCCCGATTCTAACAAACACGTTCGTAGAACTATTCCATCAATAAATTTCAATACTGCATAGCAACATACGCAGAGAAAACACTCCGTTAATGTATAACTATAAACCCAGAAAAACATGTAAATATCCATTCATATATTCACCTTCTGATTGAACTTCAGAATCTTTAATCGCCTCATCTCCCCAAGATTCATTGAAAACGCCGGAAAGAGCAACGAACCGGAGCCAGATGGGTCCGACCAATCCGCAAATCAAAGGCGTCACATTGAACTCCTTAACCAACGTTTCGCATTGATATTGTATCATCATCTGCAAACCCATCACGTATCTCTTCCTCACTTCCCTGTAATAATCCTCCGACGTAATCGTTACCGTCTCCGTACCCGACCCGAAATCCGCCGGCTCAGTCGGCTCGAACTGCGACCAGAACTGCGAGTGCTGCTGCGTCTCCTCTGTCGCCAACGTCGGCTGCGTCGGCTGCGTCATAGGCTGCGACGGGCGCTGGCGCGTGTTGGTCGCCTGGTAGATTGCGCCGCGCGTGTCTCCATTATTTCCGACGAAGTCTTCGTCGCCGACTCCGGTGTCCATGACGTCGTCTGCTCTAGTGCCGCACTGAATGCAGTGGTAAAATCCCTCGGATTCTTCGAATCCTGCGTAGCCGCAATTGTTGCAAATCATCTTCGACAAGTCGTCCTCCGCCATTGTTGTTCGATCTTCAGTTTCCCGCGGCGACGACTCAAGCAATCAGAAATCTTCCCGGAGATTATATATGTATATAGAAGGGAGACCTACAAAGATCTAAACCGTGTTTTACCCGACCCGGCTCGACTTGACCCTAAGTGAACCGGTTTTGGGCTTTGAAGCCCACGGTAGATTGGAGAAATCTCAGCCGTTGATTTATCTTGATGATTGGTATTGTATCACAGCCGTAGGATCTAGGGATCTGAAGAGCCACTTATCATCTTACATCTCAGTCATCTAGATAAAACCCTTTGTTTCTCTCTCTGCTTCGCCGCCGGTGCCAGTAAGAACCCTAAAAGAGGAAATTCAGGAATTCGGAGGAAATGGTGCAGAGACTTACGTATCGTGGAAGGCATAGCTATGCCACAAAGTCGAACCAGCACCGTGTTGTCAAAACTCCTGGTTCGAGACTTCCTCCTCCTCCTACTGTTGCTCACAATGTGGTTCTCTTTGATTTTTTCGTATGAAATCTCTCCGATTCGCGCTATAATCGTTGCATTTCCTTGACAGATCTCGATGCTTCGTGGTTTTCCATTTTTTTTTCCGATTTACGGTTATTTTGTGTGTGATTATGGTGATGTTGATGCGTGGATGCAGGAGGAAAGCTGGTTTACCAGACTACGAAGAAGAGAGCAAGTGGACCCAAGTGCCCTGTCACCGGCAAGAGGATTCAAGGGGTAACTATTGAATATTGGTTTACTTCCGTGTTTTTTTGTATCTAGTTAGCTGTTCGGATTGTTCTTGATCAGAGAAATGACTGCACTTTTGATCGAATCATAGATCTGCGGGTAGAAAATTTGGGACTTTGAATCGAATAATGGAATAAAGATCCTTTTATGCCTTTGTTTTTTACTATTCGCTGAGGACTTGGTGGTTTGTTGTCTTTGTAGTACTTATAGACGGTCTTCTGCTGATTAGATGTTATTCCGTCAGCACATTACGTTACATGATATTAAGCCATTAGATGTTCTTCCATCTGCACATTACATTACACTATCTTAAGCCAGATTAAAGTATTTACTTTGTCTTTCGCGTTGTTCCTTGGTTTCTATGAGGAATAACTATCCATCCGTGGTTGAAACTTTAAGCAACTTTTTCCATTTCTTTAGCAAATGCTGCATTGTGCTGAATTTTGTATTTTGTGATCACTAAATGGGCACGTGAAACCTTTGGATTTTCATCGGTTTAGTTTTCTTTTAATTATTGAAATGAGGGCACTTTTGATTGATTCATGTATCTGTGAGGAGAAAACTTAATAACTTCTTATCAGATAATTATCTTCAAGGTCTCTACATTTAATATGCTTTCTTGTGTAGAACTTGTAAAATCATGTCTAGGCTGTGCTTATTGACGGTCTTGTGCTGATCAGATGTTCTTCCATAAGCACATAACATGATCATAAGCTAGATTAAGGATGCTACTTTGTCTTTCTAGTTGTTCATTGGATTGTACGAGGAATGGCTATCCATCAGTGGCCGAAACTTTAAGTAACCTTGTTCATGTCTTAAGCAAGTGTCACATTGTGCTGAATTTTGTATTTTCTGATCACTAGATACCCAATAGATTGGTCTTTCTTGTTTACTTCATAAGCTCTACACGTGATTTCTAGATCATCACAATGTCTTTATATCGAAAATTTTAAAACCAAGTTTCTCATGATACATTGTGGTGGCATGCAGATTCCGCATATGAGACCTGCTGAATACAAGAGGTCTAGATTGTCAAGAAACCGGAGAACAGTGAACCGTCCTTACGGTGGAGTATTATCTGGTTCTGCTGTCAGGGAAAGGTTTGTTCATGTATCTGATGAAACGCCATTAATATCTGCATTGATTATGCAATTAGATTTCATTACTCCTGCTTTCTTATAGGATCATCCGAGCCTTCCTGGTGGAGGAGCAGAAGATTGTGAAGAAGGTTTTGAAACTTCAAAAAGCCAAGGAGAAGCTTTCAGCAAAGAGCTGAATAATCATACACTGAATGTTGTTTAGTCTATTAAGGGTTTCAGGATTTGCAGTCCATGTTTGGTTTTCTGCTTTAGTGTGTAATCTTCTGTGGCTAGTCTGAATTTTGTTCTTTCTTACCCACCTTTGGAGACATATTGCATATAAAATTTTAGGATATTTATTATTTGAATTTTGGATTTCAACTTCAAGTATTCTTTTCATTTGGTAAAAAATCTATTTATATTTGGATTTAAATGGATTTTTAACGAATATTGCACGCTGACCGGATCCAGATATCAGGAAATTTTATCGAAATAAAATGTTAGAAAAGTTTTGGATATTGGGTCGTATGATTGATTAATAATATACCTAAACATGTCTAACAAAACACCTTCATATAGAAGTTTACTCTCTTGTTCGTTGGGGGCTGTCAAATAGTAATTTAGTAGTCGGGTCATTTTTTTTTCTTCGTAATGATTTCTCTGGTCGTGATGTCCAATAATTTAGGGTTTTGAGAGATTCATCATCAAGTACGCCTCAGTTTCTTCTGCCACTTCCACTGTTTTCGCATCAGCTGCTTCGCCATTTCTCATCAAAGTCTTCAACTTTACGGAAAAAGTATTCAACTTTCGCCGTTTTCCTGATCGGTATGTATTCTGTCTTTCGCCCTTTTCTCCCGTTTGGATTTTTTTTTCTTTTCTGCGAGTTCCATGATTCCGTCTTTTCTGGTGCTGTTTCGGGAATGTTATGCCCGAGATCCTCGCTTTGATGTCTGATCGAAGCTGATAATGTGTTCCTCGAATTGATTTGTGATTTCCTGTTAAAGAGATTTGTGAATTTTCTGGGGGGGGGAATAATATGTTATGAAGCCGAATACCATTATGATTCTTTTGCTCTCTTGATTTTTCAAGTACCCAGAATTGTTGGGTTTGAGGCAGTGAGTTTGAACATTGAATTTGCTTGATCTTGAAGAGATCAGAAGAACGAACAACGAAGTGTAAAAGAAGTTACTGATATATCTCTTGGACATCTAAAGTTAATATTTGCTATGTGATCTTCATGTTGATGTTGATGTTGTCGTTATCTTCTTATTGAAGTCTATCTCACATGTCTCATCTCATGTATTGATGCTGGTCTTGTTCTGTTTTGGGCTTTAATGGTTTCAGGTATTCAAAGAAAAATGGCTTTGAAATCGGCTTCTGCGGATAACAGAACCCGTAGCTCGATGCAAATCTTCATTGTTTTTGGTTTGTGTTGTTTCTTCTATATATTGGGTGCTTGGCAAAGAAGTGGTTTTGGTAAGGGAGATAGTATTGCTTTAGAGATCACTAAAAATAGTGCTGACTGTAACATTATCCCGAGCCTAAACTTTGAGACTCACCATGGAGGTGAAGTTTCCTCCACCGATGAATCTAAGTTGGAAGAAAAGGCATTTGAACCATGCCGTTCTCGTTATACTGATTACACACCTTGTCAAGATCCAAGGCGAGCAATGACTTTCACAAGAGAAAACATGTTTTATAGAGAGAGGCATTGTCCACCTGAGAATAAAAAGCTGCACTGTCTTATACCAGCTCCAAATGGGTATGTGACACCATTTACGTGGCCGAAAAGTAGAGACTATGTGCCATATGCCAATGCACCTTATAAGGCCTTGACCGTTGAAAAGGCTGTTCAGAATTGGATTCAATACGAAGGAAGCGTGTTCAGGTTTCCCGGTGGAGGAACTCAGTTTCCTCAAGGAGCAGATAAGTACATTGATCAGATTGCATCGGTTATACCGATAAGGAACGGGACTATCAGGACAGCTCTCGACACTGGTTGTGGGGTATGTTCCAAACTGTAAAACCAATCTTATCACATACCTCTCTTTCTCTTGGGTCAGCTATTTTGATTTGATATAGGTTGCTAGTTGGGGTGCTTACCTTTGGAGCAGAAATGTGATTACTATGTCATTTGCACCAAGAGATTCACATGAAGCACAAGTTCAGTTTGCTTTGGAGAGAGGTGTTCCTGCTGTCATTGGTGTGCTTGGAACGATAAAGTTGCCATACCCATCTAGAGCTTTTGACATGGCTCACTGTTCCAGATGCTTGATTCCTTGGGGAGCAAATGGTACAAATCATATATGATATCATTTTGCAATATACTTGATTTCGACTGTTTCTTTTCATGTTAATGATGGATTATTCATTTTGGTAATCTCATGTGCAGATGGGATGTATCTTATAGAAGTGGATCGTGTACTTAGACCTGGAGGCTACTGGGTGCTTTCAGGTCCTCCAATCAATTGGAAAAATAACTACAAAGCATGGCAACGTCCCAAGGAGGAGCTTCAGGAGGAACAGAGAAAGATTGAGGACATTGCAAAAATTCTTTGTTGGGAGAAGAAGTACGAGAAAGGCGAAATTGCAGTTTGGCAAAAGAGGGTGAATGACAAATCATGTCGTCAGAGAAAGGAGAACCCTAAAACCAAATTCTGCAAACCTGAAGAAGCCGATGATGTCTGGTGAGAAACATTGCTCTTCATGTTTGCAGATGTTGATTCATTTATGCAGCTACTCGAGCAATGTCTCAATATTTTCTCGATACATATTTTGACCTGTGTTTGCCAGGTACAAGAGAATGGAAAAGTGCATAACTCCTTACCCTGAAGGAGATAGCAAAGATGAGGTAGCGGGTGGAAAATTGCCGGTGTTTCCAGAGAGACTATACACCGTTCCTCCAAGAATCGGTAGTGGATCCATCCCCGGTGTTTCTGTAGCTGCTTATGAAGAGGACAATAGAGTTTGGAGGAAACATGTGAACGCTTACAAGAAAATCAATAGACTAATTGATACAGGAAGGTACCGCAATATCATGGATATGAATGCAGGGCTCGGAGGATTTGCAGCAGCTCTAGAATCAGCAAAGCTGTGGGTAATGAACGTCATGCCAACTATAGCCCCGAAAAACACACTGGGTGTTATATATGAGAGAGGTCTTATCGGAGTTTATCATGATTGGTATGAATGCATGACCTTTCCTTTTTCTCTTGACTGATACCTCTCTCTAAAACACCATTCACTGTTTACTGATACAGAAATTGTTTCAGGTGCGAAGCATTCTCCACATACCCGAGGACCTATGATCTGATTCATGCAAACAGGGTTTTCAGCTTGTACAAAAACAAGTAAGTTACCAATAAATGCTCTGCTTCTCTTCTATTTGTGATCTCTGATGGAATCGAAAACGAGAAAGATGGAACCAGAACCTTAAAACCAAGTGATGTAGCGTATCAAATCGATAACTTTTAGCGACCCATTAAGTAAAGCTATCTCCTTGATGTGCTTGGCGATTTCACGAGACATTTCTTGACGGAACACTGTCAAAGCTGTGATCTTTTCACATGGGTTATCATCCTTTTTTTTGTTGTCGAAACACAGATGCAACCCAGAGGACATTCTGCTAGAGATGGATCGGATTTTGAGACCAGAAGGAGCAGTGATCTTCAGGGACCAGGTCGAGGTGCTTATAAAAGTGAAGAAGATCGTCAGAAGGATGAGATGGGACAGCAAATTGGTTGATCACGAAGACGGCCCATTGGTTTCTGAGAAGATCCTCGTCGCTGTTAAGCAATACTGGGTCGTGAACTCAACTTCCTCAAGGTAAAAACGGTTATCAATTTGGTTTAGTTGTACCAGTTTTGGGACTATGAATCTCGGTGTGTCTATTGGTTAACCTGTACCGGTTTCCGGTTTGCCAGTTTCAGTAGGCAATCTGTAAAGTATGTGTACTGTAATATCAAATCCAAACATATACTTTATTATATGAGGTTTTTCTTAATAAGAATCTCATTTATCAAATAAAAAAAAATGAAATAGCCATGCATCACAGTTCAGTATTGTAATATACTTATTCAGAAAAATATAAAATGAAAAAACATGAAATATAAAATGTTAAACGGTTACAAGTTATGAATTAACTTAATTGTAATTCTGAACACGTTCAAATGTCCCATGCACTGAATTCTATATTTTAAAAAGGTCAGGGGCCACGAAACACGATCTCCACGCGCCTGAATATCCGATTTGGGTTAAAATAGCCAAAACCGATGGACTATATAGCCCGCCGATTTAGGGAGGTGGCTCTCACGCGCGAAGACTGCGCGTATAACTTTGAATGTGCTGGTTTGAAGGCCTTTGTGTTATAAAGCCCGAATTTAAGGCCCATCGTATTTACTGAATTCACGATGAGCCCATTAAGCACATATTTACCGTGGGCTTTTTTGGCCTCTTTCATTATCAAATTTAGGATATATATATGAAGATTTTTTTATTTTTGTTAATAGAACTTTATTTTTCCAATTATTATGTTGTTTTTCTAGTGAGCCCTCGTTTATTTCATATAGTTTTTTAGTTTTATTTTGTGTTTTTCATATTTTTACAAGGGGGAAAAAAACCCGAGTAAATCTAGAAACACCGTCAGCCATATCATTATCCTCACTGAGATCGATGATGTTATATATTAGAGATATACACTAGTTTTGTATATATATATCTATAATATAATACAGCGGAGAGCGTGTTCGAACTCGTCGGTCCAGAATTGATTTCATCCAATAGTATATAATATATAATCGATTTATCAGATTATACAAAGTTGAAAACCGTGGATTTACCAATCCAAACAGGATAAGATATGTCGTGGTTGTGTGTGTGTGTGTATGTATATATATATGTTTTATTTGTGACAAACGGTTCGTATTTATATAAATACGACATAGTGAGCATAATGTTTTCCATTATTCTCCGAATTCCTATCGATAAATCGTATTCGAAATGCGGCATTTGCATTATTATTTTTGGGACCTCACGGGGAAATAATAAATCTAATATTCTTTCGAAGATGACAAAGATTGAACGAAGCATTCCGAGTTTCAACAAAAGACACAGAAACCACGACCACGGGGGCTTGTCTCGTCATGGACCCCACCCTCTATTCAACCACACTTCACTTGGAGAGAAACCAGAGCATCCTCGTTGGCTTCTTCTTTTTCTCCTTTTTAGAACCCTAATCTTCCTTGTCAGAATTATCAAACAAGAGAGAGAGAGAGAGAGAGATGGTCATACTAACTTCATCTTCTTCAACCCCAAACACATCCATTGATCTCATGAAGAACATCACTCGCACCAACATTAACCACTTCCCTTCTTACTTGAGTAGCAAGGAAGGTGCTCTCGCGCACAAGAAGATCATTCAACCGACCAGAACCTTGATCGGCGTTCCGACCATTGTCAATCCTGACGACGTTCCTCCTATGAACGGTTTCCATACCCCGAAAATCCCGAAAAAAGATCCGGAAGATGCAGAGATCGGCGTTTTTGGAGCAGAGAAGTACTTCAAAGGTGACATGGATCATCCAGACAGCAACAGTCCTAGACTTGTGTCTCTGTCCAGCTCAGAGGTTTTAAGTCAGCCGAGGAGCGAGAGGATCATCCTTGAATCGAAGCTAAGCTCGAAGAAATCCACACGGACTCCTAGCCTTCGTTCTGAATCCAGCTGGAACAGCCAGAGCTTGTTGCTGAAGAACAGATACAGGAAGAACTCGAGCTGCAGTTCCTTGCGGGGCAAGAATACTATTCCAAAGGCGAGCAAGAGGAGTTTTCTGGCCAATCTCGGGTGCAAATGCATCTGTTCTGACCGGAATTCAGTCGATGTGAACGAAGATAGCTCGCCGAAGCAAAATTCTGATCTGGGTTTCCTGGTCCAAGAAATGGCGCCCCGAAAAGTGCTGAGATCGCCAGCGAGAAAGATTGAAACCGAGCTGAGTTTCTCCACAAATCTCGAGCCGAAATTTCAGCAGCAAGAAGGAGAGATAATCCAGAGGAAGTCTTTGGAAGTTTTCGGGTCACCTATTCTGGAAAAGAGGAGCATCCAGAAGAAACTAGCAGTGCTTCCATGGGATTCAAGCTCGACAAGAACAGAAGAACGCGGTTTCTTTTCAAAGTACACAGATGAAAATGATAGCGGGAGTGAGGTAAGTTCAGATTTTTTCGAGATAGGAAGCCTGACTGGGAAACCAAAACCCTGCCTTGCAAAGCAAGAAAGCGATCCAGCCTCACCGACAGGTTATGCCCCTAGCGAGGTAAGCATACAGTGGAGTGTAGTGACAGCCAGTGCAGCGGATTTCTCGGTTATGTCTGAATGTGTAACAAGTCCTGTCAGACACAAATCACTTCAGATTCCTAAAATCCCAAACCCGAAATCAAACCAAGAAACAAGACAGAGACGAAAATCCAGCAGCGGGCTCCTGCTGGGATGCAAGAGTCATAAATCTGTAAGAGTTTCTGGTGATTCTTACAGGAACATGAACACAACACCCAGTTATGTTCCAAGGTTCCCAACAGAAGCAAAGAGGAGGATGAGTGGCAGTTCGGTTTCTCACTCTCAGTCACCAGGGACGGCTTCACATCTTCTGTTCATTTAAGTGATGCTTTTCAGTTCTAGCTCTCCTGTCTGTATATGCATTTTCAGTTTGCATGTGTGTGTGCTGTAAGTGAGGATTTCTGTACTACAAGTGTAATATGATGAACCCGATGGTAAAAATCTCATGAATTCTTGTTCCTAGAAACTATAATCAGACCAAATGAATGGGCTGAATTCATGAGCAGTGTAACAGAACCTGAGGAAAAGCAAAAAAAGACTACATCATCAATAATCAAAGTTCTTGTTGCCACAAGAGTAAATGATGTGGTCCAAGAATTCAATATATTGCCTGAAATTTTAGAAAGATGGCAGGCTGACATAATATGAATATATGTTATCAAAGATATTACAATTTATGCGACCAGACATACAACCAGCAATCAGATTCTAATTGCATCTGACACAATGTTTACTAAAGTGTGGTAAGACAACAGTTGGTTCATGCAACTGACAAACAAAATGGCTCGAACTGTTTCTTATCGTCGTCGATATGCATGTCAAGAATGGAAAGATGCCAGGTTTGTCTATCATCTATCAAAGGGTAAAATCGAAACCAGACATATTGCCAAAAGAGCTATCCATGAGGAAATTTATTGATGACAGTGTCCTTTTACCTAACGTATATACAATGATCCAAGATCGTGGTCCTGAACTCACCTCACAGCCATACGTGTGAAGAGATAAAACCAAAGCAGACAAAATCCTAATTGGCCATTGAAACATGAAGTGATATGTGAATTCTGAAAACCAGAAAGTTTGTTAGGACATTAAATGCAAGAAGAAGCATGTCTCAATAGCCACAACTCATTAGGAACGTTAGTTTTTGAGAAGGATTTGGACAAATTTAAGTTCAAGTTAAAAGATCAAGAGATTTTCTTATTCTAGAAATAATCCAATGAAGGAAGTAATCTCCCATATAATCCACCAAACTTTCTGTTATTTTATGTGGAAACATTGAATAAGCCACAAACTATCCAGAATATCAACCTACAGGCTACAGTAGGGATTAAACTAAGATTTTATGGTTCCTGAAAATAATTGTCTCAAAGGACCATTCAAGATGAGGCAAGCAATAATTGAGCAATCACATATTTTGTCCTAGGGTTCTTCTAAACATAAAAAGAGAATTGCTCGTTTGGTTTATGTGGACAGTAGATGAACAGCAAAAGCACAAAGACCTGAGAGTTGAAGAAAACGGGCACCTTTGATGTGGAAAAACTTTTTCCGTTCCTGTCATTCTCATTTTGACTTGTTTGCCACCAGGGATGTCGGTTCCTAATAAAGGAGATGGATGAGACTTTTCAAGGTCTCAATCTGAATTTTATAAGCAGATAAATAATACAGATAGAAAATCTGAGTTATAGCAATTACACAGTGGTACAAAATGAATATACTCCAAAAGGGCAAAGCAGCGTCAGCTTGTACACGAGTATATATATGCCCATCTTAAACACAGAAACAGGAAGTGTATATACAATTCACATTGGGAACTGTTATATCTCTCTAACGTGCAATAGCGAAAGTAACTCGATAGAGTTAAGAAAGCAAAAGTTACTCATCTTTGCATTCTTTGGTCGGCCGTGTTTCAAAGCCTCCACCAACTCTCCCCACAAGTGAATAAGACAAGTGGGTACCAAGAATTCTATCCCACATGACGAAAAATGGCTGAGAGAAGTTGTATTTGGTTCCATAGAGTTGGTGGTGAACATCATGGTAAGCAGTGTTGTTACTGAAGAAGATGTGAAAGGGATTTCCCGGCAGCCAAAGCCCGCAGTGATCATCAACCGTCTTGATCGTAGCAAAGGAGAAGAAAAAGATAGCGGTTCTTGGGGACATAGCAGAGAAGAGGAAAGACAAGGCACCACCAATGGTGTCCAAGAGAAGCCCTTCTAGTGGGTGGTTGTATAGAGCTCCAAATGCATAGGGCACAACAAGGCGGTGGTGTTGTGAGTGGATGTGCTTGTACAAGAACTTGTTGTGGTGCATATAGCGATGTATGAAGTATTGCCATGTATCAAGGACCAACATCGCGATAATAAACTGCCGGGCCAGAAGAAGAAGAGAAGAGCCTTGCGAATTTGAAGCATCAGTATCACTTCCTGTAATCTAAAGAAAATGAAACTCCAGATAAGATTTCGGGAAAAATTACAAAAGAATCCAAAAAATTAACTTTGCCACATCGTACACGGTGGAAAAAGAATGAAATAGAAGGGAAATGACACACTAATATACCAGACATAGCCTATAGGTGTGTAGTCGAAGATGTTAATAGAGCATATAACGTAATCTTTTACCACAAACCGGAAACAAACCCTGAATTATCTTCAAACACTAACATAGAGTCTCACTGAAGAACCACAGGAACCACAGAAAACAAAACAAAGCAGGAAAATCCAGTGAGAAACATATCTAATTTATCCGAACAAGAGAAATGTAAAACTCTAACAGCTTCTTCCACCATTGAGAAAGACACAAATTGGTGGCATCGTAACTACATGGAATGCAAGAAATGGTATTCTCCTTTTTATAAGCTTCGGATATGAGTCATGAAGAAAAGGAATGGAATTCTACCAGCCATTCACAAATTGACAGTCGCTTCGTATGAGGCAATGTCAGACCTTGATCAGGTTCAGATCATCCAGATTCCTGATCATACAAAGAACTTACCCTTCTACCCATAATTACGTTTTGCTCAACTCATCGAACTTAGGTGCAGGTTCTTGCGCTTATTCAAGTTATTTGCATATACATGGGCATATGTATATGCATACGTGCAAGCTCTATCTCAGCAGATGACTGTCACTAAACCTGCTATCTCCTTCCATGAAAAAAATGGAAACCGCCTTTCACTAGCAGCATTAAACAGGTGCTTCCATTTCATTTCATCAAAAGCTCCAGCATTTAACTCCGCCCATAACTTTCCTCATCAGCCCACCATCAATCATGATTCACTAGCTCTCGGGATAAAGTTTAACCGCCTAAGGCTAACAGCATCAAACAGGTGGTTCAAGTTTCGTTTCATCAAAAGATCCACATTTCACTCTTCCCCTAACATTCTACAGAAACACAATTCTTCAATCATGTGCCAGTAGCTCTCATGTAATCTATCTAACGACAATTCACTCTTCGTTGGAAGTCACTAGTGACATCCGATGCCCCTTTTCTTAATGCCCAGAAGCAAATTTTGGGTAGAAAGCGGAAATCCTGAATAACTCTCATATTCTTCTCCTATATGCTATCTATCACGCTCAAATCAATACGTTTTCCACGCCAAACAGCATATATCAGAATTAGATAATGTAATTCGCATTCAATTCTCTGAAGCGAAACAATTCCCAACATTTGCAATCAAACCCTGAACCACAAAAAATAATTAACATTGTAAACCAAAACGATTGTCGAGGTAGAGGAGAAAGATTATCTAGCATAGATACCTTGAACAAAAGCACCGAAACGATGGCTTGTACGGTCTGTTGAAGAAGCACGCCCTTGACGACGGTATATTTGGAGACGAGATTCTTCTCGGCCTCATCAATTCTCGAGTGCAACCTGTACCTATCTACCGATCCTAAGCAAACATAAAACCCCGAATAAACCCAATACACCAGAATCGGCACAAATGTCCCCAGAAATTCATCCGAAATCGCGAAACCCATCATCTCTAATCTCTATTCTGAACCCGTCGAAACGAAGAAAGGACAACCTAGAAGAAAAGCGTCAGCCTTGTCGATTCTTCGCGATGGTCAGGACGAAGAATTTTCCGCCCAGTCTGGGCTTCTCTCTTTCTCAGTCGCGAAGAAGACGAAGACGACGACCATAACCGGAGAGGCAGAAAAGGAAGATTCAGGAGCCGCTTTAAGGTGGGACCCATGGAAAACACCGCCACGTGGCGAATATATGAGATGGTCAAAAGCAATTTTATCAGACCTAAATTATTCGTATTAGGAATAATAGACGTTTGTGATTATACGATTAATTATGCACAACACCATTATCATTAGATAGTAAATGATTGCCTCACTGTCCTTTTTATTCAATTGGGCAGACATTTGCTGGCTTCCTTGTGGGGCGGCAATAATTATGCGCTTCAATGAAATTCTATTCCCATATTCCCATACAATACAAGTAGACCATAACAACTCCTAAAGAGAAAAACAATTTATGTCACAAATCAAGACTCTGGTTCTTGGTCGCTTCTTGCTCCGACACAGCAAAAATGGCTGCAAACTGTGTAAATTAGGACTCTGCTTTGGTCGGATCGGTTGATGTTTCAGTAGCTCCAGTCTCTTGAACAAGCTGGTTTAAGAGAGAAACGTCAAGGGAACAAAAAGACAGTACTCTTAGTCTGAAAACGTTGTCAGAAAGTGTTAGTAGAGAGAGAAACAGAGGAGAACCTTACCATGGAACCGACTTGCTCGTATGCTTCCATTACTTTAGGATCGTGTTCATCTTCGTATCCAACCTGTAGGATACGAGGTCCATTGATGGACCAAAACGCCCTTCTTCCCGCCTCCTGCAACGCCACACTAAGCTTAGAATATCGTCGGAGTGAAATAATTTCCATAAAAAGAAAACCAGAACTAAATCGACAAATGAGATGGAGAAGGGGTGTTACTGTACTTGTAATGTGATCAAATATATAGCTTCCAGTGCCTGGACACGAATCTCAGGATCGGTTACTGGTTCTCGTTCAATGGAAAGCGCACTTCCCAGCTCAAGCGGCATTTTTGAGATATCTTGTTCACTATATATCTGGAGAGAGAGAGAGAGAGAGAGGTAAAACTGATCATCAAGCACCAATTTTTCAGAAAAAATAAAACGAAACATACTTACGAAACGATGACAGCCCATCTAAAGCAAAATCTGTTCACCTTACTGCCTGCAACTGGCAGAAGTAGAGCTGGCCATAGGAACTCAGATATCAAGAGCAGATTTTGGAGCTGGTTCTCGGCTTCAAAACAGCAATTGCGAATAGTCCCTGATACCTGAAAACCAAGGTAGCATCCAGTTAACCTTTGTCTTGTAACCTTATCTGTTGAAGAGTGATGGGTGCATTGGATTTGAAACTTATAATCTGTAAAGATTTCATCCCGTTATACCCCCTTCTTTCGCAGTTGATTTGTTGAATCAAACTGCCTGATAATTTGCTTTAGCATCCCTCTCTTTGAATCCAGCAACACTTTTCTACCCATTTCTGTTTTTGATACGTTGACAAGTATTGAGCCAACATGCTCAAATGGGTCATCTGGTGCATAAAAGAAGGAAATTAGAAGAGAAAGCAACCTTGGTAATCATTCCTGTTACCTTGAATTATTAGCAACAGAAATTCCATGTCACTAGCATTAGAGCAAGCATGCAACCTCGATAAAACCGTGGGCACGTATTTCACTAGGTCTTAACACAAACATAAAGGTCCTCGAATCAGAATCAGAAACTGACAAGTGATATAAAAATCAAAATATAAGTAGAGTATCCTCCTCAAAATAACAAAAAGTGACGGCCAGAACTCGGAAAACATACTTTAGAGATTAAAAAAGGAAAAGAAACCATAAAACAAGCAAGATATACCTGCACTTTCACCAGAGGATCTACAAAATGATCTAACAAGCTTCATAACATATAATCCCTGCATCTTCTCATCACCAATCTAACAAAAGCATCCAACTTTGACACTGTTAGCTAAGGCATTGTTACAATTCAAAACACTCAAAAGACATCGCCAATCCCCTGTATTTGGGTAATCACAGGAGGAATCGCACCTGAAGCAGGGAGGAAATGCCGTCATCCAACTGAGTGAGGTTGACTAAAAGCATGACAAGCAACCGGGTAATGCTAGAATCTGGCTTATACAAAAGATCCATGGCCACTTTGATCATCCCCATCTGAACCATCTTCCTAGCCAAATCAGTGTTCTGGGAAAGATTCACTAGTGCCTGAGCAGCCAGTTCCGAGACCTCCTGAGACATTATCAAATTGCTTTATCCATATGTCAGAAGACCAACCAATTTAATCCGAGGAAACACTGCAATTAGTGCTTCGTAAGAGTTCCAACAGTTCTACTCAATCCAAGGACCTTGCTTTCGGACAGAAGCCGAGACAACGATGGAAGAAGCATCTTAGCGTACTTCGATAAAGATTCCAAACCATCCTCAGAACCGGTTAACCCGGTAACAATCTCCACCGCAGCTTTCTTCACCTGCATATTTCAGCGCATAGACATCGCTCAAATATCAAAACTCAACAAAAATCCTCGCAAAACCCTAGAAATTAAACACCGCTTCATCCCATAGCTTGGGAACAGATGGAAAAAAAGGCAAGCAACTTGAACGGAAACTTACCGGAGGAGAAGGAGAAGACAAAAACTCTACAAGCTCTTCCAGCTCCGTCGCCATAATCTCCTAAAAGAACCAACAACTCCGCCGACGTTGAGAATGTATCAACTCCGGGAAGAAAATCGCTTGCGACTCGCTCTTAGAGCCAAATACCACCGCCGCGGCCGAACCCGAAAATCGCCAGGGTTTTTCTCGGGAAACAAGAGGCTGAGAAAATCTAAAAGGCAAAAAGAACTACGTGGCGGCTGAACAATTTGCTCTCCGAGATTTTGCCGTTTTATACGAAATAAAACGGCACGCAGTTTCATACTGAAAAAAAGCCCCGACACTTTAAAACGTCGGAGAAACCTTCGTCGTATTAAGAACAGATCGTCTCATAAGGCAAGCTAAGACGACGAACACGAGAAAACAAACGAACCCACTTCCCCAAATCAACAAAACTTTCTTCTCGGAACTCATTTTTCACGTACGCGATCGTAAGTATTCCACACGACAAAACCCTCTTCCTGTCCTGTCTTAATAAAGAAGAATTTACGAGGAAGAAACAATATATATATATACACGTAGATGCATGACGTAACTTTTAAGATGCATGGGCGTATGCATAGTGACGGTTCGAATAGTAAACTAGTATAAAAACCAGTATAAGGGTCCGTATATATGTATCTTCCTTGTGCTTCCAATATAAAGTACATATATAATAAATTGTTGTGCGATTTATGAGACACGAGTGGTTGGCTAGTATATACGAAGGTTGTAAATTCGGTGACATAGTATTAATATATAGATGTGATTTCGTTGGGAACCCACCTGCTATCCTTCGGACGCGTTGATTGGGTAAACCCCACGTCCACACGCACGAGCTTGCGACACATACGTAGAAGATGAATCAGCCGTAACTGACAGCCGGCAGGTGAACGGGTAAGGAGACGAATCTCCAACCTTTCGGTATGTTGACCATACTACTTACCAACTCACTTGGGGTTCCGACATGAACGTGTATATATCTCGTATGATTCAAAACAAGTGAGGCAAATCGATTCCACCTTTAAAATTCTTGTACCGGCGGGCATATAAAAATCTAAAATATTAAGACAAAAATCAAATTTAATATAGGTTGATACTAAATTAAACTTCTACGATCATATATTAACCACGTATGAAAAATATCCTACGGTTATTGTCGGACCAGTCTCGTATACAGTTTAATGTCCATTCAATAAATAACGAAAAGCACATGTAACTATAATGCATAAATATTGCAAACAATTTCGTCTCCTTTCACTGTCTTTGCTTTTTGGTGGATGATGTATTTTCCAAATGACAAAAATAGGTTCAGCAAAACACGTGGCTCTCCTAACTCTTTATCTTATCACGAGCCAATCATCGACTAAACAACCATATCTTACACACACATACATACATATATATATATATACTGTTATTTTCTACCCTTTTTAATACAGAAATATTGAATTTTTTAGCTTTAATTACATGTTATTAGACAAAAAAAGACTGCTAAATGTTAATAAATCGTTCAGGGGCTTTTTTTTAATTAAATTTTTGGTAAGGACCAAAATGCCTGTCAATTGTCAAATCATTTATATATTTCAGTATTGTTATTTAAGATAATTTTGACATAATGTGGGCCTTATTATTAAGGGTCCAAACCATATGGGCCCAATATGCAAATTAAGCTTCGTTCCATTTTTTTTTTTTCACAAAACTTGTAAATATCAAAATAACGGCGGGGTAGATTCGGGAATTTCCAAAATTAAACGGCAATTATTACGGTCTTCAGAAAAAGCAGCGTCATAAATCGAACGACATTTTTTCCACGGTCTTCGATGGTGGCGAGCGAGAGATCTTCAGGTCTGGTAATATGTAGCTTGTTCGGATCTTCCGTTTTCTTTTTTCGGGTTCGATGTTCGGTTGCTTCCCGAAATTTCATGAATTTGCTAGAGCAATTTTCAGAATCTGCATTCTGAGATTGGTTTTTTGTTTTTGTTCTGGAATTTTATGAGAATCTCTGTCGGAATCTAACATGAATTTGTAGCGAGTGTACCCATTTATCTTAAGATTGTTTGATTTTGGGTGTTTCTACGTGTTTTCGTTCCGATAAATCTGATTCGGAGGATCTCATTTAAGTTCACGGTGTATTATTTATGAAGTGTGTTGATGATTGTATAGAATTGATCTCACTTTCCTGAGAAATGGTGAATTTGGTTGTTGTGAATGTTTCTGATTGGTTTCATTTGATTTGGATTCATTTTTCTGCCCCTATGTCGTGTGTCATGCATCTCTTGCTGGGTTGTGTAATCTAAAAGGGAACTATTGCAGAGGGAACTATTGCAAATGATGAGTAGGTTGGGATAATGTTACCAGAGAGAAGAAGTACCACTGGTTCTGTTCTGACTCCTGTTGGTCAGAACCAGCATTCCTTTTTGCTTCTTCGAAGAGGAAGAAGGTTTGGTCGGGTAGTGAAACTGAAGCTCTCCCACTGCTTACGATTCCTCGCTGCTCTTTTTCTGGTGTCTTGCTTTGTCTCTGTCCATAAACTTTTCTTTCATGGTGAGCTTTTGAACCATCCAAATGGCTTTCCTCAACTTGGAATTATGGTGCATACTTATTATATGTGTGACTAATCTGAGGTGTTTCTTATGTATGGTGTAGGTTCTGAGTTCACCTCTCACTTTGATAAACATTGTAAGTGTATCATTCCAATCCCTTGCTTAAATCTACTCGTGTTTCTCTTGGTTGTGTGGCACCTTAGTAATTGGATTTTGATTCGCAGTTAACGATGAAAATCGATTTTTGATGTCATCCGAGTTTGAAAAAGGATTAGACAGGCCCAGTGTAGGAAAACCACGTGGAAGCAAACAAAAGAATAAGCGTATGTGCAACTTCCCTTGATTTTTTTCCCTTATCAATTTATTTCACTTGAATCTTTAGGAGCTCAATGGAGACTACTGCTGGTTGATCCGACCAGTTGTTATATATTGCAGATTTTCCTTGTGATGTTGCACTTGCTGAGTCAGTTGATCTCATAGTAGAACCTAGGGACGTTTCAGATTTCACCCAGTTTTCCTTAGGGTATGTGGACTCAGAGAAATATCTTCCGACGACCAAATTGTATAAGCCTCGATTTGGAGGACAACAGACACTCGAGGAAAGAGAGAAATCTTACCACGCAGTTAGCCAGACAATTCATTGTGGATTTGTTAAAGGTCCTCCTGGATTTCAGAGTACTGGATTTGAGCTGAGTGAAACCGATAAGGCATACATGAAGAATTGTGTAGTCGTTGTATCTTCTTGTATTTTTGGGAGCTCTGACTTTCTAAGGAGGCCTGCAAGCAAAAAGGTAGAAGCATATACTAAATAGATATCACCTTATTTATGAGATCCTTGTGTTTGCTCTGGGAGGGCTAAACATTCGTTTGCCTTCCCAATGCAAAAACATTCTTTATTTTTGCAGCCTATATGTTCTATTGGGTAAAAAGGAGTTCTAGACAGAGCTTATGGAATTTGATACGACTATCAGTCAGCACAGATTATATAGGCGTTCCCTTCATATAGCTTGTGTTTCATGTTTGATTCAGGTAAGTGAATTTTCGAAACAAAATGTTTGCTTTGTCATGTTCGTGGACGAGCAAACGCGTGTGAAATTGTCTATGGAGGGGCATGTCCCAGATGAGCAAGGATATGTGGGTTTGTGGAAAATTGTTGTGGTGAAAAACTTGCCTTACGCAGACATGAGGAAGACTGGGAAAGTGCCAAAATTTCTATCGCACAGACTTTTTCCTTCTTCCAGGTGAGGTTAGTTATCTAGCACTCAAGCTTTTCTTTTCTTCTTCTTCTTCTTCTTCTTCAGTTCTTCTCCATCTCTCTTTCTTGGACTTGAATTTGTGATCTATCCTCAATGCTCATTGTTCAGGTATTCAATTTGGATTGACAGTAAGATGAGACTTATTACCGATCCTTTGTTGATAATCGAACACTTTTTGTGGCGGACAAAGTCAGAGTATGCCATCTCAAACCATTATGACCGCCACTGTGTTTGGGATGAGGTGGTGCAGAACAAACGACTGAATAAGTACAACCACTCGGCCATTGATGAGCAGTTTCTGTTCTACCAATCAGATGGGCTTAAAAAATTTGACCCCTCAGACCCGAATTCTCCTCTTCCAAGTTGTGCGTATCACCTCTCTCTCTCTCTCGATATATATATATATATCCCTCACATAGACATGCATGCACGCATATACACATGGAGGCATGCGTAACATGATCCCTCCAGACTCACTTTCATGTTTTGGCTAGTTAATTGATCTTTCCTGAGCTGTGTATTGTGTAGATGTACCTGAAGGTTCTTTCATTGTAAGGGCCCATACACCAATGTCGAACTTGTTTTCCTGTCTGTGGTTCAACGAAGTTGATCGATTCACCTCACGTGACCAACTAAGCTTTGCCTACACATACCTAAAACTGCGAAGATTGAATCCAGATAGACCATTCCACCTAAGCATGTTCAAGGTAAGATATATAGGTTCATAACTTATATTAGATTACATGTTTATACATACATACATACATACATACATACATACATACATACATACATACATACATACATACATACATACATACATACATACATACATACATACATACATACATACATACATACATACATACATACATACATACATACATACATACATACATACATACATACATACATACATACATACATACATACATACATACATACATACATACATACATACATACATACATACATACATACATACATACATACATACATACATACATACATACATACATACATACATACATACATACATACATACATACATACATACATACATACATACATACATACATACATACATACATACATACATACATACATACATACATACATACATACATACATACATACATACATACATACATACATACATACATACATACATACATACATACATACATACATACATACATACATACATACATACATACATACATACATACATACATACATACATACATACATACATACATACATACATACATACATACATACATACATACATACATACATACATACATACATACATACATACATACATACATACATACATACATACATACATACATACATACATACATACATACATACATACATACATACATACATACATACATACATACATACATACATACATACATTTTTTTTTTGGTCTAATGCATCAATTCATGCAGGACTGTGAGCGTCGAGCATTAACTAAACTCTTCCGGCATCGTGCAGAACCATCACCTCCGCATCCTGCTTGATCAATTAAGTAAGATATTCTCTCATCTTTTTTTGCGCAACTCAGAAGATACACAATTACGTTTTCTAGCCTCTTATATTCTTTCTGTTGCTGCTTTCGGGCTTTCAGATTATTGTCAAACTATTTATAGCAATTCAGAGAACATACCTCTGGCGGAGAATCCGTCACCATCTTGAACGAATGCCCTTGGTGGATTTTGGAACGATTCCGGGTCTTGAGAAAGGGAAGCTCGGTTTACATGGGAACGTAGTGTGTTCTTAGAGAAGATGAGCATTAATAAGCAACTGAGGGATTACGCGAAACAAAGCTGAAGCTTTTCTCTAATTCATCCTCTTAAAATATGTAACTTGTTTTCTGTGAGACGATCAAATCAGTCGTCGACATCAAAATGGTCATGTGATCTCTGATGTTCTGGCTTGAAAACATACATGCTTATTTTACACGTGCTGTGTACCATTGATGTACTTGTTTCATCTGTAGCAACCTTGTCTGAGAGGCCATTCTTTCTCTCACGATTTATGTAAAATATCAAATTATTGGCTTAACAGTGTGTAAGAAACAGGTATGGTCACGGTCGGATGGTACCCATTGATGTGCTCAGATATCCTATACTATACTATACTATACTATACTACGGATACTTGATAAAATATATGGCTGCAAAAATTATTTTTTAAAAATAGATTTATAAAAAGGTAATAACAATGCAATATAAATCTGAATACTAGGAAAATCCAGAATATTTTAGCTCAAATATGAAGATAAAAAGGGCAGAATATTTAATAAGAAACGCCATACTTTAAACATGAATTCAGAGACATCTGCAATGATTTATACTTGTACCAATTACAGGACCGACAGAGAAACTTGGTCTTTAACAACTCCTATCACACCAAGACTGATCCACTTTCAAGCGTTCCATTCCAACCATGTGATGGAACTATCGACTCTTCAAAGGCGTGAGACTGCCAATCTCCGGCTGCATTCTCTCCTCCTTGAACGGTTGCGTTGCCATTTCCGATAGTGCGGGTAACCTTGAAACGCCGCCTTTCCCTTTCCGAGCGTTAGGTCCGATCACCTCTATCATGTATCTCCACCCGTCCACTGGCCTTCTCCGGCTGAATATGTGTTGCTTTATGAAACTCGCTATCTGCTTTCCCGTCAATACCCGGAAAACTGTGAGTCTAAAGCTTCGTGCTTTCATCATGATAGATGATAAAGTTCATCCCTTTATCATGAATAGCGACAAAGATCCATGATTTATGAACAAAGAGAACGAATCGGGCATGCCAGACTACGAAAAATTGGGTGATTTTGAATCCTAATGATGTGCATTATACAGTAGATAGATGAATAATGGTATGCCAAATATGTCCGATGCACAAATATGCGAATGTGGTGACCGCTGCAAGTTACAATGTACCTGAAATTTGCAGAACGCAATCCGACGATCAAATTCTTGCAGGAGAATGTCTTCCTCTCTTTGTGACATGTCCCAGAGATTCCCATCTTGCTCTTTTGCAGTCGTTTCCCAACCATCAGGTTTGGCTTTCAGTTCTGATGCACCCGAGAATTCCAAATTCTCGAAATCATGGTTTGGTGAGTCAAAAATCCTGTTGTTTTTTAGCACACAAAGTAGAGAGCTCTTCAACAAAATCTCAAATATACAGAGTCACAGAATGTATCTCATGCACAAAAAATCTGGACAGCGCCTGCCCGGAAACACTGATCAATGAGGAAACACTGATCAATGAATGTACATACAATCTTCGATACTAACAAGCCATCCATCATTTTATCGGCGTAGCAAATTCATTAAATGAGCAAGCTTATGGGTCACTTTCATATCGGAAGTTCCTAGCTATACTCAAATATCATGCGCAGGTATTACCAGTCTCAATACAAACACCAACAACCAAATCTGATTCAGGAATTAGCAAAACCACAGTACCCAGTGAACACTAAGAAATGATCCTAGAGAGAGAGAGACCAAAAGAAAAATGCCACAGAAATTGATGCAGGACACAAAGACGTTAATGATCAGCATCATAAGCCCAAAGGGTCATCCAAAATGCTCAACTTGCAGAATCAACATAGCAAAAACATTCTAAACACAATTTCACCAGCCATGGCCAATCCTGAATTCATCAACCGTAATCGATCATGAATGTGGTTCTCCACATGAAGCATAGGAAAGAAACCATACTCTGAGTAACTGTCGAGCAGCCTATCCATATCATCATCACCGCCTAATCCAGAATCGCCCAATTTAGCTTCCTCGAGCTTCTCAATCTCCTTCACCCAAAGAGCAGCATGGATCCTCTGCTTCTTCAACCTGTAATCCTTCTTCATAGTCTCCAAGCTATAAAGCGATTCACTGACAACGTTTTCTTTCTTCTCCATGGTCTCTTTCCCGCTCTTCCCTGAAAGCGTCTCCACATCTACTTCCTCCGACGCCACAACCGCTGTGGACTCCGCTGCTGTCGCCGGAAAGTTCACGTCGGTCTCCCACGGTGCTCGGTTCTTCTCCGTCAGATCATCTGGTAGCCAAGCGGTTTCCCAAGCATCGTTCCACTCGTCTTCTCCATTTCGAGATTTCGTAGACATGGAATTGAAACGGGATGATGGCAAATTCAAATGGGTTTGTGAACCACTCCACAAAATTGAGGAAATAGGACGTGATCTCGTTCTAGCGATCGATCCGACAACACGATGAAGAGACGTCATCCTTTGATGGGACAAAAAAAAAAGCACGAGAAACCAATATTAGAACTTAGAAGTGAATGTGATCAGAAACCGGTCAAGCACAAACATAAAACGCGTTCGACGTCTCAGAAACTGTGAATCAAACCCAGCAACCAAAAGCAATAACAGTAAAGCAGACATGGAACATGTCCATTCAGACGAGCTCGAAGCAAACAAAACGAGAATAAAGAAAACGTGAACAGACGAAGTGTGAAGAGATAGCGACTAAAGCACGTAAAATCCCGAATTTCTTTATATAGTGCTCGAAACTCACAAACCAGGGAAGGAAAAGATCACCTAGGAGCAAAGTAGGAGAGATTTTGCTCTTCGGGAGAGATCCGATCCTATCGCGAAGTCGCCGAAGAAGATAAAACCAGAGAGAAAAAGTTCCGAATCCAGAGAGAGAGAGAAACTCTGGTGAGGACGTCGGAGATTCTTCCCTCGGCGAAGGTTGAGCAGAGAGTGAGAGAGGAAAAAGGTCTAGGTTCAAGGTTGAGATATTTTTGTAATTTTCGAGTTTATTAGGGGCTGTTTGGTAATATACGAAGTTTGGACACAAATCCGAGTCCAAAGTCCAAACACTCAAAAGTTTAGGCCGTAAAGAGCCCATATATTATGGGCTTTATAGGCAGTGATGGATATGTGTATTTCCTGTTAAATACGTCATGGAGCGCTTAGGGTTTTGTTATCGCCCTTAAAGGCAAATCGCAGCCGCGTTTTCAGCCAAGGAAAGGCCGCCATGGGACGAAGTGAGTTTCTCCCTCTCTCCCTCTCTCGCTCTCCATCAGTTTTCTAGAATTGGGGGTTTTCATCTCTGCTAGGTGGCCATGTTAGTCTTTTCATTGAGGATTTGATCTTCGTGTTTTCCTTGCTATTTTACCGAATGTTGTTCACGGTGTCCCGAATGAAAATTTTGCTTATGTTGGATTGGATGTGAAACTAGGATAGATTCTTGCTGGTGTTACATATTAAGATTTCATCTTGTCGTGTGATTAGATTCCTCTCATGTTTTGGTCTCTCGATGATGAATAGTTTTTCTTTTGTGTTGAAATGCATGTCGAATTCGTGTTGTTTCTGTCCGGGTGAAGTTCACTTTTCATCCTTCTTTTGTTTGAATGAAATGTATGATGATATTTTACCACTTTCGTTCCCCGATTTGTAATTAACGATTTCATATCCTGTGGAATTCGTGTTATATGGATGATATGTCAGAATCCTTTTCTCGCTATTCGTCTTGTATGAGATTGGCTCGGTGGAGAATTAACGACTGAGCCTTTTTTTAACTTTGGATATGGATAAACGGTTCGTTATTTGCAGGACCTGCGAGATGCTACCGCCAGATCAAGGGTAAGCCATACCCGAAATCACGGTACTGCCGAGGTGTTCCTGACGCAAAGATCAGGATCTACGATGTCGGGATGAAGAGGAAAGGAGTCGACGAATTCCCCTTCTGTGTCCATTTGGTATCATGGGAGAAGGAAAACGTATCAAGCGAGGCATTGGAAGCAGCTCGGATTGCTTGCAACAAGTACATGGTCAAGTCTGCTGGAAAGGATGCCTTCCATTTGCGGGTTAGGGTTCATCCATTCCATGTCCTGAGGATCAACAAGATGCTTTCGTGTGCCGGAGCTGATAGGCTCCAGACTGGAATGAGGGGTGCCTTTGGAAAGCCACAGGGTACTTGTGCCAGGGTGGCGATCGGACAGGTGCTTTTGTCTGTCCGTTGCAAGGACAATCATGGTCACCATGCTCAAGAGGCTCTTCGTCGTGCTAAGTTCAAGTTCCCTGGTCGTCAAAAGATCATTGTCAGCAGGAGCCGAGCCAAACAGACACCTTGGAGAGTTCATTCTCATACCTGAAGACCAAGAATTAGTCAGCAGATGGTATGTCTCTAAAGACTTCATCTGTTCTCCTACCCCATGTCCGATTTGTGTTTAGTTACCTCTTTGTTGTAATCAAACCCCACCTCTGATTCATTGGATATGCAAAACTTGAAGGGGCTTCACAAAGTTCAGCCGAGCTGATTACTTGAAGTTTAGGCAAGAGAAACGTATTGTTCCTGATGGTGTCAATGCTAAGGTCTGTCTCATTCCTTCATTAATTGTGATCGATACAATGCTGGTAATCATTTCGTGTTAAGATCGAAAATGGGTTTTTTGTTTGGTTTTTGGTTGCAGTTTCTTTCGTGCCATGGACCGTTGGCAAAGCGGCAGCCGGGACAAGCTTTTTTGCCGGCCACAGTTTAAGTTTCTGAAGTGTAGTTTCTTCCGGTGAGAGGAACATAATCTGTCTTGAAATATTTTCCTCAATTTGGTGTTTTTGTTTGTTTTGGTTTGATCAGGTTTCATTATCTCTGTCTTTGTGAGACAACTTAAAACGTCTGTGATGATGTTATTGTTTCGACATTTGTCTCTTTGTTCTAGACTTAATCCTTGCATTTGGAGACTTGAAGCTTTGATCTCCCATTGCTTTTTCAAATTTGGTTAACTAAATTTGTCATATACATATGTTTTTATACAATTGTCTGCAAATAACTCGATAAAGTTCTGATAAAATTTTTGAAGTTAAATGTAGTAATATATAGTTACAGACTATACGGAAACGTAGTGTGTTCTTAGAGAAGATGAGCATTAATAAGCAACTGAGGGATTACGCGAATCTTGCGCACACGCATGTGTATGTAGAGATCCATTCAAGCAAAAGACAAAAACATGATAAAAGGTAGGATTTTTCTTTGCAACCATGGTCTTGAGAAGGAAACTGAAAACAGACCCAAAACGAAGTTATTTCTTGCAAGCAATCGATGTTTGATAGCTTATTAGGAGACTACTACATCCACATAAGACAATGTCTCTTTCTACAAACTGGGAAAGAAACCAGGGAAGGAAAAGGATGATGATGATGATGATGAACAATGTCTTTAAGCTCTCATGAGTAATTCAATAAACCCGGGTTCCGAAAATGTAACCTCGTACAAGTTTCAGGGTTCTAAGGCGAATCCAGAAACAGAATGTGATCATACATTACAAACTATGAAACACAGAAGACCAAAATGTCTAATGGTACAACATAAGAGCTCTTGGTTCTTTCTCTTCTATCGTTTTTCGGAGAAATAGAAGGTAACAAAAAGAAAAACACAGAGATGAGTGACACTGAGACATACCGGCCTATGATGAATCGATCCGTCTTTTTTTCTTTCTTTCTTTCCGGTTCCTAAATGGATAGAACCGCGAAAGATTCGAGAGCATAGTATGAGACACATACAACAAAGTTTAAAGGGACAATCCCTAACCCTTAAAACTCTTCAGACTTATTAAAAAAAAACCTGTTTCTGTGTTTCCTGAGAGCCCCTCTCAAACCTGTCTTGGTCTCTAAAATCGGAGATTGTGGTAAAATAATTCAATGGAAGAAAACTTTGTAAGCAAAATAAATATGGAAGAAGCTTGGAACCTTCTCTTCCCTGCAGAGTCTTGTGATGAAAGTGAAGCATTCTACTGTCCAATTAAGTGTTGTTGTAAGCCAAAAATCCATCAGCAAGAATCTTCTGTTCTGATGAATCTGATCACATGTATCCTCTTTTTCTGTTTTCTTTTCTTTCTTTTTTTCAGCATCCCATAACCGCACAATTGTAAACGAAATTAGCAGAGTGTTTTCTATCGAGCAGCGTCCACTGCGGAGGGCCATGGCTCGGTATCCATGAGTTCAGCTCTATGAACCCTCCACCCGAATTCTTTGGCCCACCAATCACGATCAGACGTTCCCCGCAAGCCCTGAAGGCAAGCCCCCATCCGTTCACCGAGTCAGCTCGTTCAGGCAATCTTCCCACGGTGAACCACTTCCGTCTCTCTTTGTCATACTTCCTCACCTCCATATCAGTGTGGTCAGCAGCATACAACTGGTTATTAACCACTGCAACAAGGGGCGGTGCCTCTGCCGCAGCCGGCATCTCGCTCTCCCTTGCAGCATTGCTCCTTGGGGGTGACATTTCGGGAATCTCGGTCCATTTCTTGGTGTCTAGATCATATTCTTCCCCGCAGGTAAGGGGCTTAGAGTCGTTGCCACCAATTCCCCCGATGACATAGAACTTCCCGTCCATGAAAACCCCTGAACACATTTTCCTCGGCTTATTCATCCTTGGGAGGGTTGTCCAAGTCTGATGCTCAGAATTGTACATCTCCGCAGAATTCAGGATCTTTCCTTGAGAATCACAACCACCGGCCAAGATTGCAATTTCTCCGAGACTGGCCGAGCCAAACAGACACCTTGGAGAGTTCATTCTCATACCTGAAGACCAAGAATTAGTCAGCAGGTCGTATCTGTATATCACATGGGAAGAGTGATCTTTTCCAAAGACCAGTAGATCGGTCCCGACAGCCAAAGATTCCTTGTCAGAACACATGAAGATGACACTGGAAGGCATGGTTGGTAACTGCATCCATTTTCTTGAGACCGGGTCGAAAGCCACCCATTCCAGGAGTTGGCAAGAGAAGTACACCCAGTGCTCCACAAAGCCATTCTGCCTCCTCAGTCTGTAGATCTCACCACTCCTTACCAAAGAACGGAAGGTCCTGTTCAAGGATGCAATAGAGCCATAGTCAGATCTCGAGCAACGGATCAGACAGTTTATCGAGTTGTCCCGACCAATCCCCTGGATAAGGGAGTGCGAGTCGGATGAATCCCCACCATCATTGCTTGAATCTGATTGCTCTTTCTCTTGTCCAGTAGAAGTTCCAACATTGACAGTGATACCATCTGTTTGCTCCTCTCCACTCGGGAGATAATCCACCACGTTCCCACCAACCTCGGAATCAGACTGGCCTTTCTCTCGGCACAGAGAGACAGAATCACTTCCGTTGTCAGAATCAGACACCTCTTTCTGCTCGGTAATGGAACAACCCATTAACCTCAGGGACTTGCTTCTCCTCAGGCTATCTTCAAGCTCAACATCAACAACCTCCGACGCTCGTTTTCCATTAGCGAGCTTGTTATCCGAGGCCCCTCCTGGATGCATGAAAGACCACTTGGATTCAGAGAGACGGGAGCTCGAGAAAACCCTAAACAACAGACAAGAGTCTAGTGATCGATCTTCCAACATGTCTTCGCCGTACAGCTTATGATGTTAGAAGCAGATCGATTCCACGCCAGGATTCAATCCAGATCCCCCGACGGAAAAACACGAAGCAGCACAAAACAACAAGAATGCAGAGAGAACCGATCGAGCTAAAAGGATCTTCAATCTGCCAAACCCAAATCACCGAGACGGATTCAGCAGAGGACGATCGAAAATTCCCTCTTTTCGTCCACGAACGCAAAGTCGTAGACTCTCGAATTCCGAATCAAATCAATCGATCCAAATCCAATGAGAAGTGGACTCAGATTGTAGATTCGAACAAGATTCCACTCAATTCATCACCCAGAACAGCAAGAACATCAACCCAAGACCACACCTTTTCCAGCTCCGAGAACCAGATCCCCAGATTCCGATTCGAAAAACTTGTCGAAACCCAGTTCACAGACAAGGAAAAAAACCAAAACCCAGAAAATCAAACAATCGATCCTGAGCTGCGCATGATTCCTTGGCTACAGTGGAACTATCCAAGGAGGGAAAGAAAGAATCTTCAACAAAAAGGGAGAGCAAAAAGAAAGAGAGGTTAACATAACAGATTATAATAACAACAGTAGCTGTAATGGTTGGATGAACTTACGGATTGAATTAACGAGAAAATATAATTAAATCACGGGAAAATCTTACTCTCTCTCTCTCACTATCTTCTTTTAGCTGTTTCTGTTCTTCGCGTTTCTGTCGTCTCTCGGATTCTCTCTGCAAATCAGGTTGAAGCTTTGGCCCTCGCAGTTAAAATCTTTGGAATTGGAGGTCGCCGCCTTCTCTTCTCTTCTCTCTCTCTCTCTCTCTCTCTCTCTCTCTCTCTCTCTCTCCCCTGTTTATTTGCTCCTTTATTCATTCCCTAACTTTTCCTTTGCTTAATTAAATTGTAATTTCGTGAAAATGAATGGTAATATTGGTATTTGTGTAATGCTTAAAATTAATGCGATAGCTGTTCCAACAAAGAAGAAGAAAATTAAATGCAGGATTTATTTTAAATTAATCTCAATGTTCTTTTTCCCTACCTATCTACCGTTTCAGCCCAAATACGTGAATATATATATATATATATATATATCAATGTATATGTGCAATATTACCATACATTTCTTTTAAAAAATAATATATCTATATATATATATATATATATATATGCCGTTGAGAATTCATGGGATTATTATTAAAATGCCTAATCTATTACTATTTTTTTTTCAACTATGATTTTATTATTGTTTTTTCGCAAATCTTCTAAAATAACGGCATGTCTTCATTGTCTTGTGAAAGTCAAATACTAACACTCTCCAAGTCTCTTAAAATTAAAAACAAAAAAAAAGTTTCGGTACTTCAATTTTTAAATTTTCAAGCAGTCAATGTAATCAATTACTTTGAATAAAATGTTGCTAATTAATAACCTCCCGTATATTAGTAAATTTTAGTACGTTGTCCTTTACTTTTCATTTTAAAACAGATTTTGTAATGATTTTAAGTTGGGGGCAATTATATTTTGCCCGGTCTGAAATTTTAATATTGGTTAAGCCTTTTTATTTGTAATTTATAAGTATCATAAGATGGGGGAAATATAATAATAGTAATAATTATTTGTCGGGTTTGAACATTTTAATAGTGATTCTCAATTGCTAGTGCCTTGTGTTGTAACTTCTGAGAATATATATCTTAGTGGTCATGCATTGGACAGCAAAAAGGAGGTATTGGGATTTTCACAAACACTGTTTTGAGTATTTTTTATTTTTTTTATTCAAAAATCCATATAATATATAAAAATTTGTAATATTTATCGTGTATATATATATATATACTTATAATACTTGAAAAAAATTACTCTCAATATATATTATCTTTAATAAAAATAACCGATTGACTATAGTTTATAATTGTGCATCAGAATTGTACAACAAGGATTGTGAATGTTTGTGTAGATACGTAATTGAATAAAATGTATAAAATTGAATAAATTGTACGGATAAGAGCAAAGCATAACTGAACAAAGATTATTTGGAATACGAGAAAGTTGGCGACGAGCAATCTAGGGCCACGAGGCACGTGTCTACGCACGTGGGGCTGTTCACATATTATCATGATATTTTCTTTTAAAAAAATTTATTATTACCTGTTATTATTATCGTACTGCTAATATTATTAAACTTAGGTCTATTTTTTTTAAAAAAAAATCATCCGAATTTTAAAAGTTTGTTTTAATCATGAGGGGAGTGATGTCAAAATGAGCCCGGCTCGCGAACTGGCTCGCGGTTGGCTCGTTTTTTATCGAGTTGGGCTGAAAAAATAAAAGACCAAATAAAAATGGGTCGAACGAGCCAGTTCGCGACGAGTCCGAGCCGATCCGAGCTAGCTCGGTCGGTTCCCAACCCGGTTCGTGAGCTGACATTTAAAAATATTAGGGTTTTATACTTTAATTTATTCACTTCTTCTGTTTATATAGCAAATTAAAATTCATGATATGTTGATATTGGTGTATATTTTTTGTTATATTTTGATGTTGTTGATGTATGACACTTTTTATGTTGATGTTGATGTATATTTTTTGTTATATTTTGATGTTGTTGGTGTATTACACTTTTTTATGTTGGTTTGGTTTTGTTAATTTTTCTTGATTTAGATATAGTTTTATGGATTGTTATGTTAAATATTTTATGTTATATTGTATGACTTCAAAATATTGTTATGTAGACTTTAAATGATTAATTTTCATGTAATTTTAAATTTTTTTTGAATAATTAGATAAAAATGGGCTGGCTCGCGAGCCGGCTCGGAGCTCGGACAATTTGGTCTGGGTCAGAGTTTTTCTAGCTCGTAAAAAAACGGACCGAACGGGTTGAGAAAAAAATGAGCTGGCTCGAGTCGAGCCGGTCTGGGCTGGTCCGAGCCAGCCCGTTTTACATCACTAGGAGGACAGCTTCGTAGCATCCCAACCTTTTAAAAATTTTCAGACCGATTATTTTTAAATTTAACTAATTTCTACTACGTTTCACATATTTGTTAATTCCAATTTTTCAACAAAAAATATTATTTTATAAAACAGTATTTTTCATTGGAGTATTTTTTTTATTAATTTAAATTCCATCTGGTTTTTAATCAATTTGATTTTAATTAATCAAATTGAACGAAGATACGGTTATGTATTAATATTTTTTATTGGAGTATTTTTTTATTAATTTAAATTCCATCTGATTTTTAATCAATCAAATTGAACGAAGATACGGTTATGTATTATCGAATTTCATTTATTCCCGTTTCATAGTTCAATTTACATAGGCATGGAGGAGGTTGCTTCTGTTTAAGAATGTAATAAACATGCTTGTAATTGATCCATAAAATACGATCATCCGTGTATAAAAAGACACACGACCAATATGCGTTTATTGTTTATATTTTTTATTTATTTAAATCCTAGTAAATTTGAAAGTTAAGACAAATGCATAAACATTTAAATAGATTCCCTAGCATTTTTTTTTATAAAATACACATTATGGGTATCCGTTTTACTTTAATTAATCTTTTGTATTTATTTACATTGTTAAAATGCCACAATTTTAGCTAACGGAATCTACTTTGCACCCATCAATATTATATATATATATATATATGCACACACAATATATAATAATATAAAAGATCATATTCTATGCACTTCCAAAATATATAAGAAAGCGCATATTTAGAGATATTTAAATATTGTTGTGGAGAGTTTGAATGGATATAAAATATGTTATTTATTTATTTTGAATGAGCTATTCCGTAATTATATTAAAAGTAAATGTTACGTTTAAAATGATTATTTAGAAAAAGTACTAATTATATAAAAACGATTAAGAACACACCACAAAATAATTAAAAAAGAGGCTAAATTGTGCCCAGATTCTGGCGTGCACTAACCACTAAGGGGTTATTATTATAATCTCCGCGACCCCATCAACCGAGGCAGCTGTCGTCCAATGATAAGAGGCCACGTGTCAACCACTCGCCACGAGCCATGTGTCCATGTGAAGCATTATTGGACGGTGGGAAAGGTGCTTATGACTAATCGCACGATTTGCATATACATATATATATATATATGTATATAATCGAATTTCGTTTATTTATAATTAATTATTCACGTTTGTTTTTTGCAACGAAGAAAGGTAGAGAAAACAAACACGCCGCAGTTACTAATGTATGGATTAATTGAACTGCCCCCTCAAATATAAAATAAATAAATAAATACCCAAATAAATATTACAGAAATCGCTTGGTGGGTGTAATGTAAAAGAAAATTTAACCGACTAATAAAAATGAATATAAATATATATATTATATGAAAAAAGTCGCTATTAGGCAAATAAGGCGCATTGCATTAATTCCACATTTGAAATAATCCAAACGTTTGTGGGAAGAGGAGCTGTCCACGTGACGTGATTGTCTGTACACACTTCCTTCTCTGGACATCATTCCTCTTTTAACCATCCCCTCTCGTATCCCCCATTTTCATCTAAATCCTTAATTACTCTTCCTCTTTTTTTCTAAACAAAAAATTAATTACAATCATATATATTTACAATTCATAGATTTTCACTGTCTACCAAATTCATTGCAACAATTTTTTAAAACTATGTGTATGTATATATTAAAAAAATATGGATCGGGCATTATTTTTGTCAACCGAATATATAAATTAATGTTTTTTATTATTTGCCAACTCTTTTTGTTGGAATTATTCTCCAAATGTTTTAATCCTGTGATTATATCAGTGGATGAGCAATTATCAGATGGGCCACAACCCACGCTATATCCGTGTATCCCCTGTTAAAGAAAAGCCAACTAATTAAACGAGATAAATTCTCATATCTAATCCCATCAATCTATAGACAATATTTTATATGTAACTATACTCATTGAAAGTTGTATACTTCAAATCTATCATTACCGTAAAATACCAAATACGTTAAACTAGTGTATATATGTTATTTTTTTTCTTTCTTTCAACGATATATATACATTATAATTCTGTCAATATATATATATATATATGAGATCATTTTTCAAATTAGTGTATGTTAAATCTTCGAATCCGCCGTTATTGAGATGACGTGTCGATTTTTCATGCATATAATCTTGTGTGTGAATTTTTACCTTCTCATTTCGAGTCAAAAGGGCACTCAGCACGTGCTCGTCGTAAAATTGAGTTCACATCATCAATTACGTCTATTTTCTTCCTTACATATATATATATGCTAAATGAATTAAATAAATTCCTATTTTTTTTTTAAACATCACGGGGATTGAATAATAAAATTGGACTCGTTCAGTTTTTTTTTTAATGTCCTTACTATTCTCGAGTTGTCTTTCGTATATATATACATACATATATGCATGTATATATATGCAATTTATTTATTTTATTTTGGTTACGACTAAATAAAAGTCTTTTCGGATAGAAACAGTTACTGTTAATGAGAAGAAGTGTGAGATAACAAGTTGGAAGGGGCTCTTTGATTGGACCAAGAAACGAGTCAATTAAAGACAAAGAGCGTATAGGAAAAATTAGGTGGCCAAAATTAACATGTTTATATAAAAAAAGATACGCATGTTTGATGTATTCTTACGCGGTTCCCAACGCAAAAATGGGATTCCATTACGTTATGATATATATATACATACATATATATCGTATGTCTTCACTCGATCTCTAACGTTTTCACCAAATAATATTGGCTAACAATGGTAATTAGATATAATACAAATAGACGTTAAATCAAAATAGTGTGTATCGGTTATGAATATACCATTCCGAATGTTATATATATATATATATGCGCATATGAAAATCTGCACATATTTAGAAATTTGATGGATGCCGAAAATCATAAAAGTACAAACTTTTGTATAGAGAGAGGGAGAGAGAGAGAGAGAGAGAGAGAGAGAGAGAGAGAGAGAGAGAGAGAGAGA